GACGTACCTAGTTCACTTAGCCGCTAATCATATGGTTTAACCTCCAGACCCTTATCATCTTTGTTGCTCTTCTCTGCACATTTCCTGGGGTGAAAGGTACCACCACTTCTCGTGATCTTGATGCTGTCCCTCTGTTGATGCAGCCTAGGAATGCATTGGCTTTTTTGGCTGCTGCAACCCATTGCTGGCTCATACGTAGGTGATGATCCTCTAAGACACCTAGATCCTTCTCACGATAATACTACTGTTGAGCCAGGTATCACCTATTCCATACCTGTGCATTTGGGTTTTGCTTGCCTAAGTATAAAACTACTTTTGCATTTTGTTGGGTAGAGCCCAATGCTCAAGTCTGTCAAATTCCTTCTGAATCTTGAATCAATCTTCCAAAGTTTAAATTGAAATTCCAAATCTCACAGTAAATTCTGCTTTTTCTATGCCCAGACTGAAGTTGATGGGAGGGCTTAAAACTTGCTTCTTTACACTGAAAACAAACTCTCAAAGCCACAAAGAAGCAATTTGGAATGTTCCACACTGTGCATACTTTTTTTCTTCAGTGGGGATGTTTGGTGGACCGACCACAACATCTGTTAGATGGTCCCTCCCTTTCAAGGATCTCACCAAGTACTTACGACATCACCAGGATGGTGTAATCCCCAGTTTTAGCCCCTGCCAAAATGAGGATGGCTGTGTCTCCTCTCTTCTGCAGACTACAATACAGGCTATCTGCAAAACACGGAGAGCAAAAGTCAGGACAAGGCATAATGATCAAGCTGGTTGTTTTTTCCCCACCAGTCTTTACAAGCAGGCACAATGCAATTAAAAGCAGAAAACACAAGGAGAATTATTATTAGAGTTTGTCACTCGGTCACCCAGATGTTTAGACCAGATTTGGAATTTTTATACACTGATCACATCCTTCCCAAGGACCTGGTATAGGCAGATGTTGCTTGAAAGTGTGAAAGGTATCATCGCAAAATGTAAGCTGTTCCAAATAAAGCTGCCTTTTGCAATTGACTGATGGGAACTTGTCAATGCCAATGGTTCCAGTGGTTGTTCACAACAATATGCAGTCAGAGCTGTGGGTTCTTTAGCTGCTGTTGGCCTTCATACATATCAAGTTCTTCCCAAGAATCTAGGATGTCCTAATCATGTATCAGCATAGCCACAAAAATGTCATCCAAGCAGTATGGTCTTTTGCAATTGACACATGGACATTTTGTCAAGAGTGCAGATTTTCTAAGCCCCATCCAAGATTTTTTTAGTTTGGCACCCAGAATGGTGATAACCACTGGGACCACCAGTCAGTTTATGCCATAAACTTACAACTTCAATTTTCAGATCTTGATAGTTTATGACTTTCTCCAGTTCTTTGTCTTCTATTCTACTATCCCCTGGCACTGCCACATTAATTATCCACATTTTCTTTTGTTCAACCACAGTTAATTCTGGTACGTATGTACCAAGATGCTATCAGTTTATTCAGTTATTATGGTTCAGTCAGACAGATGTTTAGACTGGATTTGGCATTTTTAGCTACCTATCAAGTCCTTCCTATCTAGCTTTATTACAGTCGCCTATGCCCAATGGTTCTGGGTGTCTTAGCACATATCAAATATAGAATTAAGACATAATGCTGAGATGTTTTAGTTTGGATCAGCTGTCATTTCTGGTTGATCTCCAAGGACAGCCCCAGGTATCTCACACTGCAGTAGTCCAGCCAGGAGATGACTAGAATGCAATTGCCTCAAGTCAAGGAATGGGTGTGAATAGTGCACAAGAGGAACCTGTACAAAATCCTCCTGCCACAGCTTCCATATCCTCATCAAGCTGCAAGTCCAGGACTGCCAAGCTGTGCAGAGGGACTGTGTTGTGCTGCCTAGTAGGGTTCGCCCCACCACACACACACACACACACCACACACACACACACAGAGAGAGAGGGGGGGGGAGAGAGAATTTCCTGGACTTTACTTTTATCATTAAAATTCATTGACAAATTCATTATTTACTAGGTGTTGCTGTATGCAAAGACTGACTTGTTGGGACAATCCTTGGGGTGGGTCTTTCCCCGTAGGCCAGCATAAAACAGTGGGCATGAAATGGGCTGCCCCAATGCCAGCTCTTCTGGCAGGTGTAATTGCATCTCTTCCAAGGAATTTCGGGGGAGGGGGCTGAATGGTGCCTCTGCCAGATAGTCCAGTGGCAGGTGAGGCTCCATTCTGGAGGGGCTGCCTCTCCCTTCCGCTGTCACTGGGAAGCAGACATGGCATCCACAAAGGGGGGCCCAGCAGGGAAAGTTTCAAGGGCACCTGAGAACTAAACTTAAAATGCAACTTTTTTTCCCGGTCCAGGAAGCCGTCTTGTAGGGATGTTACAATTGTGCATTGGAGATCATCGGAAGCAGGAGGGTGTTAATGTGAGGCTGGGGGATGCTGAAGAAGACTGCAAGGGCAGAAGGAGAACGGGGGGCTGGGCGAAGGGGGTGCTCCTTTCCCTGCTATGGGGCCCTTCATCCCTAATGTTGCCCCCCCGCCCACACACCCACACACACCCACACACACCCACACGTTTCAAGTGCCCAGCTCTGTCTACCACCGTCACAACTTGCTTTTTGGGTGCCAATGATTGTAAGGAACGATGATAATTCATAAGGAATTGCGACCAATAGATGAATGGATCAAATATCATCTTTAGATCTTAGGTTTGAAACGAGGAAGGTCTCAAACCTACCGATCAAGCAGCACGTTGCATCAACGACAAGCGGGGGGGGGGGGATGGCGCTGAAAACCTCCGTCCCTTCCATCGGAGACCGTCATCCTGCGGTCCAAACCGGGCACTCCTAACGCCTTTCCCGGAGAAGGAGCAGCCTTGAGTCCTTGACCGAGTAGCCGTCGCGCCCATCGCCCGCAGTGGGTCGTCCAGGCCTGGGGGGGGGGGGCTGAGAGCCTCTGCGCGGAGCCGGCGCCCGACGGGCAGGAGGGCGGACCGCCACATCTCCGGACAACGCGAAGCGGGCCTTTCTCCGGGCAGGGAGGTCAAAGCCGGCTGGCTGGTTCGCGGGTTCCGGGAGAGACTCGGCCGGTGGCGGGACGATCCGCCGCCGCCGCCGCTGTCCTTGTGCCGAGGCCGGGGGCGCAGCAGCCCGTTCCAGGTGGACCTCGGGAGGTTTCCCCCGTTGGGCCAGGCCTGGGAGCGGCGAGGCCTTCGCGCTCGCCAGAGGTGCAGAAACGCCGGTGGAGAGCAGCCAAGCGCCGCCGGGCCCGTGGAGGGGCGGGAACGGGGGAACCGGCCCCGTACCGGAGGGTCGCCCAGCTCCCCCCCTCGCCACTCGGGGGTCATCCAGTTGGGTTAAAGGCAAAAAAAGAGGCCCTTAAGGTGGAGGTCGCCGAAAGGCCGGCAGGTGCCTTTTCTCGCCGGCCCGGGAGCCCTTTACGCGCCAACGGGGTCTGCGGGGGCGGCGGCGTCGTCGAGCAACGGCCGCTACTCCGAGAGGCCGTTCGGACTCTTCCCGAAGGGCGCTGAGGGTTGCCGTCCCTCTCTGCCCCTAAAGGGGTGAAGCGCACCTGGTCCACCTTGCGGACAAATGTGGAGGTCGTAGAACTCGCAATGTGGGAAGGGTGTGTGCGCCCCCCGCGAATTCTTGGCGGGACGCTGGCAGAACCTAGAGTAACAGGGTTGGAAGGGACCTTGGAGGTCTTCTAGTCCAGCCCCCTGCTCGAGCAGGAGACCCCAGACCATTTCAATCAATCAAGCAATCAGAATAGAGCTGGAAGGGACCTCGGAGGTCTTCTAGTCCAGCCCCCTGCTCGAGCAGGAGACCCCAGACCCCCCCCCCCGGACGAAGGGCTGCCCAGTCTCTCCTTGAGAACCTCCAGGGATGGAGCGCCCACAATTCCTGGAGGCCAGCCGCTCCGTTGGTTGGGGTCACTGTCCGGAAATTCGGCCGGACGCTTGGACCTCCAGCCCTGCCGGGAGAGACTTCCAGAGGGAGAAGCCGAGCAGCCTCGAAGACCCCTTCGGAAGCCCCTCCTCGCTCGCCGGACGGCGGAATGGGAAAAGCCGAGAAGGGAGCGCGGTCGTCTGGATAGGGGCAGACGCCAATCGCCGGCCAGAAGCGGAAGAGGAGTCCGGGCCGGGGACGGAGCCAGGCACCAGAAGGAAGCGCCCGGCGTCCCGCGATGCTCGGGCTCCCTCGGCTTTAGCCACCCAGCTGCAGCGGCCGGGAAGGCGTCAAAAGGGCGAGGCTGGAAAAACGGGCGCGCGGGGAAGCCGAGCCGGCGGCGGAGGCGGCGCCACGCGGTGCTACTCCGCGCTGCGAGACGAGCCGCCAAGGCGACTTGGAGCTCCCGCCATTTGGCTCCGGAGCGGGCCGAGCGCGCGATCCACCCTTCGGGAAAAGGAGAACCTCGCGGGGCGCGGAACTTCAATGCCCCCCCCCAAAAAAACAGTTCGGGGCGCGGCTCCTCCTGAAGCCCGGAGAACTGAGCGGGGGTCATTCCAAGGGGAGCTCGGCTCGCCGCCCGTGGACTCACCTGGATCGACGCCGCTGGGCTCCCGCTTCCCCGGGCTGGAACGGCGAAGGCGCCAGCGGGCACGCCGAAGGGGGCCACGGAGGGCCCGGCGCCGGCAGAAGCCGCCTCGCTCCCTCCCGTCTCCTCCAGCAGCTGCGGGCGCGCTTCTTCCCTTCCGCCCACGCGCGCCGAGCGCCGGAGCCCCCCGACAGAAGCGCCTCCCGCTCCAATCAGGAATCCCCTCCCTGCGCAAACCCCGGGCCGGCGTCTCTAGACGGGGCGGGGGCGGGTCCCTCGCCGGGGCGCCCTATGGAGGTGCGCGACTGCCTGCCACTCGCGGGCGACGGAGCCAATAGGGCGCGCGGGGGGGAGTGGCTGCGCGCAGGGCCGAACCGGGGCTCTAAAGCGCGCCCCGCCGCCCGGGGTGTCCCAGTGAGAGCCGCAGAGCGGAGCGCGGCCCAGCCACCTCCCGTGCGCGACCCGAGCGGCCATGGCCACCACGGCTCAGTACTTGCCGCGCGGCGCCTCGCTCCTGCCCATGTCCGCGCCGGAGGCCGAGCGGCTGCACCAGGGCCCCACCTACCGCGAGGTCCAGAAGATGATGCACCACGAGTACCTGCAGGGGCTGGCGGCCACCCCGGGCCACCCCATGGGGACCCTCCCGCACCACCAGTGGCTGCAGGGCGCCACGGGCGACTGGGGCGGCGGCGGGACCCATCTGGACCACGCCAAGGCCAGCGGCGTGCCGCGCGGAGACTTGGACGGCAGCGGAGGCGGCTTCCACTCGCGCTCCCACCTGGTGCACCAGCAGGCGACGGGAGGCGGCGGGGGTCACTGGGGCCAGGGCGGCCCCACGCACCACCACCTGGGCGGCTGCCCCGCCGCCATGTCCCCGACGGCCGGCGGTCCGCAGCCCCTGCTCTACTCTCAGGCGGCGTACCCGGGGCTCAACGGGATGCTGGGACCGCAGGCGCCCGCTCTCCACCTGCCGCACGGCCACGACGAGGTGTCCGAGGCCCACCTGGAGGGCTCCCCGACGCCGCTGGGCCACGCGGGGCCCGAGCCGCCCTCCGACGAGGACGCGCCCAGCTCCGACGACCTGGAGCAGTTCGCCAAGCAGTTCAAGCAGCGCCGGATCAAGCTGGGCTTCACGCAGGCGGACGTGGGGCTGGCGCTGGGCACCCTGTACGGCAACGTCTTCTCGCAGACCACCATCTGCCGCTTCGAGGCGCTGCAGCTGAGCTTCAAGAACATGTGCAAGCTGAAGCCGCTGCTCAACAAGTGGCTGGAGGAAACCGACGCGGGCAGCGGCAGCCCGGCCAGCCTGGACAAGATCGCGGCGCAGGGCCGCAAGCGCAAGAAGCGCACCTCCATCGAGGTCGGCGTGAAAGGCGCGCTGGAGAGCCACTTCCTCCGCTGCCCCAAGCCGTCGGCCCACGAGATCACCTCGCTGGCGGACTCGCTGCAGCTGGAGAAGGAGGTGGTGCGCGTCTGGTTCTGCAACCGGCGGCAGAAGGAGAAGCGCATGACGCCGGCCGGGGGCCCGCACGCGCCCGCCATGGAGGACGCTTACTCGCAGGGCGAGGCCTCCCCGCCGCTGCACCACACGCTCCGGAGCCCGGTGCCATGACTGGATAGCGGCGGCGCCGGCGGCTGCGCAGCCGGCTGGTCTGGCTGGGACCGGCGGCAGGACTTTTGCGCGGGCGACGTCTTGGGCCTCGGGGACGGCGGGAAGCCTCGACGCTAGGAGAGCCGCCTCCCCGCCCCGGGGAGCGCCCGGGGCCTTCCCGCCGCCACTCGGCTCTAATTTAAACTCGATATTTATTGACCCCCCTCGGAAAAGCTCCGGCCGAGAGAAGCGCGGAGGGCCCCCGCTTCCTTGAGGAGGCGTCCGGGCTGCGCCCGTCTCCCTCGCCCGGGGGACTCGAGGCGGCGCTTCTAGGCCCGACGGCCCAGCCCTCCTCCCTCAGCCGAGCGGGCCCCCGGGCTCTTTCCGAAGGGGGCTCGTGGCCAGCGCCCTCGGAGGGGCTCCGCGCCCAGCGAGCGGTTGAAGCCGTTGTCTTCTCCCTTATTTATGTTACAATCAATTATTTTATTACTCGCATAAAACATTTATCCGGAACGCGCCTCGTGTCTTTGTTTTTAAACACCGGGCGAGAAAGGCGGGGAGGGCGCAGGGCAGGCCCACCTTGGGTCCCGGGGAAGGCCGCGGCGGAGCCCCACTTTGCCCGCCGGCCTTCCCTTCCTTCCCGCCGCAGGGCCCGTGCAAGATCCTGCGGTCTCCAGGCGGCCGTGTAAAGCCTGGCCTTAGGCCGCGCTCTCCATTCGCTCCGGAGCTCCCCGCCGCCCAGCCCTCTCAACTCGGGCCTTTCTTCCCCTGCCGCTCAAGCGGGGCCGGCGCTGGCCGGGAAAGGGAGGTGCGGGTAATGGTGGCAAGTTGGCGCCGGGATATTCTGCTGGAGGGCCGCCGTCCAGGGCTCTGCTTCCGAGACCGGTCTTCGCTGGCCTCCAAGGGGAAAATAATCGGGAAAACACTAGCCTTTTTCCTGGAAGGGGAGCCGCGTTTCCACCCGAAGGGCTTTCAAGGCGAGCGTTCAGGTTAGGCCATGATAAGTGGGTTAGACTTTAGGGCGCCAAAACAGCTTTTTCTTTTTTATTTTTTTAAAAAGCAGCAAATGATATCTAAGTAGTAATTTTCGAATGATGGCCATCTCAATTTTACTCCGTGCTTTCATTATTATTATTAGAACTAAGGAGAAAGTTCCTGACAGTTAGAACAATTAACCAGTGGAACAACCTGCCTCCAGAAGCGGTGAATGCGCCAACACTGGAAGTCTTTAAGAAGAGACTGGACAGCCATTTGTCCGAAATGGTATAGGGTTTCCTGCCTGAGCAGGGGGTTGGACTAGATGACCTCCGAGGTCCCTTCCAACTTTATTATTATTATTAATTATTATTATTATTAAGTGCTTGAAATCAACTTTGATGACAAGAGGAAGACCAAAAGTGCTCCCATACCTTTATTACCTTAAAGGCTGCTCAGATGCTTTCTGGTTTATTCCTTTTGACTTCCTGAACTGGGCTCTCCAGGAGAAGAGAAGAAAAAGCAGGAAGGGCAGCCCGGCCAGACTGACCACCCTCCAGCTCCACCACAGTTCTTGCTGCAAGCCATAGCAGCCTTTCGAAGAATTTCTCCGGAAGTCAGATGGGGAGGAAGGAGCATCCTTTGAAAAATAGGGTGAGTGTCTTAGATGAACTTCACCATCTTCCATCATTATTGGGGCTGTCGTGCAGAGGATTGGAGTAAATGGTTTCCTGCCGCCCGCCTCTTGCCTGGCGTGCATCCACTTTTAGAACGGTTTTGTTGCCGCTCACATCACAACCTGTTCTGTGCATAAGTGGCACAGCTTCAAGTCTGTCTTTTGGCTCCACTTCCCTCCCTCCCTCCCTCCATTCCTCCTGACATTGGGGATTCCCCCATTTCCAGAGCCTGGGGGGGTGTCTCTATTGAGCCAGGAGCTGCCAGTTGGCAGGCTTTTGCTCGGCTGGCACAGAAGGGCCAGCCAAGCTGTCAGGAGATGCCTTCTCCTTCTTCCCTGAAAGCCAACTCACTAGGCTGGAGGAAGGAGAACTTAAACCAGGGGTAGTCAACCTTGGCTCTTTTATGACTCGTGGACTTCAATTCCCAGAATTCCTGAGCCAGCTTAGCTGGCTCAGGAATTCTGGGAGTTGAAGTCCACGAGTCATAAAAGAGCCAAGGTTGACTACCCCTGGCTTAAGCAATCAGCCCAAGAAAGGGGGCTTCGCTCAGCTCTTCTCTGCTAAAGAGCAAACAGCACCTAGATGTCAGTTTGCCCTGGCTGGAGGAGGAAGGGATCCTTCTCATTGGAGGGCAGTATTTCCCCCCCCCCCAGCAGAGCATGAAGAGAGCAACAAAGGGGAACTGCAAAGATTTGGAGATTTGCAGTTGCGTTTTTTCAGAAATGCATCTGGTTAAGAAAGAGCTCCACTCACTTTGCTTCCTGCACGTGAAGGATTGGAGAAAAAAAGGCAGGATGGAACGGGCCCTTGTCTGACTGCTGAGGAGCAAAGGCAATCTTTAACCCTGGTAGAAAGATCCTCTGGAGTGCTCGGTGCTCTCTTGAGTTTGGTGTTTGCTTGCAGAAGATCCTTCCCTTCAGGGGTACACATGTCCTCCATCCTCTCTAGAGGGGCTCTTTTTTCCCCCCCTAGGAAAGCACTCACTCTCTCCAAAAGCAGCCAGGCTGCACCCCTATCCCCTCCCCCCCACCCATTCCTCTTGGCTGCCCTGGAAGGTAGGAAAGGGACCGATTCAACATCTTTCCCAGGCGGGAAATCGGAATCCAGATGTTAACCTATTTGGGTTTTGTACTATAGAGAGGAGCCCCTCCTTTGCCCCAGGTGCAAAATGGAGGCATGCCCAACATGCAATGGTTGTTTTCTGCACGACAGGTTCTGTCTCTTAAGGAAGTGAATGGGGGGTAAGCCAAAGATGTTCTCTTTCTTTCGTGGGAGGGGGGGGAGGGAAGGGATCGTATCAGCTCTTAATTAGGGAAGAAACGGCTTCCTTTGAGCCTACTCTTTGGGGGAAAAGAAGCAATACATTTATCATGAGGAGAACCCAGTTAGTTCTGCTTTTTGGTATACTACATAAATCCACCAGTAATTAGACCAAGTCATCAAGTTCAGGGAAACAGCCCCCTTGCATTCACAGGGCTGTTGCTTTGTTTCTTCGGCATCTGCTAGGCATAAAAATTATTCCCAAGAAATGCATCGCGCTAATGCATCTCCCCCCCCCCATTCTCTCTCTCTCTCTCTCTCTATCTATCTATCTATCTATCTCTCATCTCTATCATCTGTCATATATCATCTCTCTCTATCTCACATACACACACACTGCATGCTCCATACTGCATGGCATCTCTAAAGCTGAATTACCAATACACAACAGGATACGACTCAGCCCTTGAAAATGCCCTCTTTCCAATTGTGTCCCTGTGACTCTGCTAGGCACCTCAAGGGGATGCCCAGGGCAAAGCACACCCATTGTGCCAACGGCATGTGGACACCAGTCTGAGGGATAATGGGCATAAGCCGGTGTGTGTGTGTGTGTGTGTGTGGTGTAGAGAGAGATTTGCCTTTTTTGGAGAAAAAGTATAAATTGATTAACTTGGTTTGCTTGAAGGGGATGGGGTTTCCTGGCACACCTCAGCTTTGGGGCTGCCACTGTTGTCAGTTACAGGCAGGTCTGTGCCAAGGTCCATTGATAAGGCCATCTTTTCTCCCCTTGACCAGCCCCCAGCTTATACCACTTACACAAGACCTCCTTTCCATGATGCGTTTTTAATTTTTAAACTGCGTTGGCTAAAGAATAGAATATAATAAGAGAGTTGGATGGGACCTTGGAGGTCTTCTAGTCCAACCCCCTGCACAAGAAGGAGACCCTATGCCATCCTGGACCAATGGCTGTCCAATAGGCAAGCTGTTCTACTGATTGGTTATTTCCATAGCCAGGAAATTTCTCTATTTCTACACTGGATCTCTCCTTGATTAGTTTGAAAATGGAAAGAAAACTGATTTCATTTAATCACTATTGTGAAAGACATTTTTCTACCCTCTAACCGTAACTGATATTTACAAAATGGTTAGATGTTATACTGAAAAAAAATTAAAATTTCACTCCTGGCCAAGTTTAAAATGATACAATTTGTTTTTCAAACATCACTGTAAACAGATGAAATGTGCTACAAAATATGAACTTACTTATTCATAAGAATGTAGTAGATTAAAAAGAGGATTCAAAACCACTAAAAACCATACCTATACAATAGATTAACTGAAATAAAATGTGATTGGATGCCCAACATTAAAATAAAACCATAATGGGAGCAGCTAAAGAGGGAATATGATTTCTTTTCAATAATGGCTTAGACAACTTAGAGGAACTTGTAGAGAAACATAAATTTTATTTTCTGAAATCTTCACCTACAATTATACTGAAGCTTTCATTTCAGGGTTTAGAATTTTATCACAATATCATACATAAGGATTTCCTAATATGTGTATATCCAGGGTGTTTTTTGTCACAGAATGCCCAGAACGGAGTTCCGGCACCTTTTTTGGATGGAACCTTGTGGGGTAGGCAAGGCGGGTTGTATGACATGTGTGAGTTCGGGCATCTTTTCTTTTCTTTTTTCTTTTACAAAAAAAGCACTGTGTATATCTCCTACCCATGTAAGATACTGTTGCCCTTGTGTTGAGCAAAACTGGACCCCTTATCATTTTTGACCATCTCCTGAATCATTGGTATTAGTTAAGAAACACATATTGTAAAAAGAAAGTAACTGCCTTTTTGCAGTGACATATTTCTAATGGGATTTTTTTTGAGGCAAGCAGGAACAGAAAAATTCTTGGGACTGCAATTCTGTATAGACTTAGCTGTGAGAAGCTCCCACTGAGGTCAATGGGGCTTATTTCTGATTAGAAGGGCATACAATTCTATTGCCAAAGTCCAGAATGAAAAGCATATGCTGCCATTAGTAAAATGTATCATGTTTTTATTTTAATCTTGTCTACAGAGGCCCTGTGTCTGCTTTGCAGCAAAAGGGG